TCTATCCAAAGAAATCCAAAACACTAAAAAAAATATATGCACCCCTATGTTTACTGCAGCACTATTCACAATAGCCAAGATATGGAAACCAAAATGCCCATCAATAGACAACTGGATAAAGAAACTGCGGTGTATTTATACAATGGAGTATTACTCGGCCATAAAGAAAAATGAAATACTATTTGCAATTATATGAATGGACCTAGAGAACATTATGCTAAGTGAAATAAGTCAGACAGAGAAAGACAAATACCATATGATCTCATATGTGGAATCTAAAGAATAGAATAAACAAACAAAACAGAAAGAGACTGAGCGATATAGGGAAAAAACAAAACAGGGTTGCTGGATGGGAGGGATGGGGAAGGTAAAAGGTTTAGAAAGTACAAAGTAGTGGTCACGATATAGCCACAGGGATATGAAATACAGTTTGGGGAATATAATCAATAATGTTGTAAAGATTTTGTAGGGGGTCAGATGGGCACTTGTCTTATTAGGGAAACAACTTCATGGACTGTGTAGATGTCTGACCACTGCACTGTAAACCAGAAGCTAAAGCTGAATAATGTTGAATGTCAATTATAATTAAAAAATATATACACACACATTTATTCACAAGATGTGAAGTACAGCATAGAGTCAATGGGATTGTAATAGCTACATATGATATCAGAGGGTTAGTAGATTGGGGAAGGGGAGTTATCACTTTGTGAGGGGTGTGAATGTCTAACTATTACATTGTTTTGTACACCAGAAATTAATAATAAAAAAGAATATTCCAAAAATAATTCTTTTTTCAGGGGGAATGGACTCTTCAGTGATTGTTTAGAATGCAACCTCTAAAGACAAGCCTGATTTAATTGTTCTCAACACGAACACTGTTATACTTGAGCACACTACCATCTTATTACTGAGGCTAATTGACAGTGTAGGTATTAAAATATAGGACATTGTGAGAAAATGTTTGTTCAAAACATCCCTATTTATATTGAAAACATTAAGCAATCATAACGCATTTTTAATGCCAGCCTAATTGCAGAATAGCAACCATAACAAAAAAAATTATGTGAATAAATGTCTTTTCAATGAAAGAATCAGTTTAAAACAAAACTAACAGGTATTAGAAAGGCAGCATTAATATAATGGCACATTTAAATAACTGACTTTAAAATTACATGTATAATTTAAATAACCTGACAAACTGCTATTGTTATTCTCCCTTTCAAAAAGTACATAAAGCCTAAGCTGTAAAATATGAAGTGAATTATTAGTTATAGAAAATATAAAGTTAATCTATTATTTATATTTTTTCTAAAAAGCTCAACCAGAAAAAGTAATGAAACTGTCAACGTATAATATTTTGTTATTGTTTATTACATAAATGCAGTTACATAGAATTTACAAGTTAGAGCATTCTAGCTGACTACAGCATACATTTACTTTCAAATAAAAATGATGGAACATTAATAGTATACTAAAATAACAGAAACTTATTTTTTCACACTTACTAAAATATTCAGGACATGGCTAAATCTTTTTAATGACATCAATGGCTATATAACTTAAAATAGAAAAGATAAATAACAGTGAAATGTTGCAAAACTTTCACACAAATATGTAAGTATATAAGTCATAAATAAATGTATGTGACATGTAAGTGTTTTGGGAATTATGAAGTATTTACTTCCTCAATTTCATAAATATCAAAACTTCTTTGGCTGCCCACTAGCCTACATATCTTGATTCTAACAAATTCTTTCAACTCTCATGAAAAGATGCATTATAATTAAAATGAAATGCTTGAACAATAAAAAAGTTTTACAGAAATTTATTGAATCCAATTAGCTGAGCAATTTGCATTAATACACTATTAACCTCTCCGTAACATCACCACTGAAAATATAATACTTCTAAGAAGCATCATATGAAATTTATACACAATTTATGTACAATTACAATTGTGTACAAATTTAAGCACAATTACAATACATTATCTACCAAAATACATCCTACTAAAAAATGTGAAATTGGTAAAAATAATTCCAAGACTTAACCATCATTTGCAAACAAATTTCTAAAAGCTGCTTAGTCTAACATATTCAAATATGCTCAAATATATTGCCTATACTAAAATAGTTCAAGAAGGTATTTGTATCCCCTTTATTAGATAGCCCATGGGTATTAAATAACTTCTTTGGTATACTGGACATGAAACAAGTTACTAATGGTATATTTTATAAAAGCACATTAAACTAAGTATAAATAAAAATATGCTCAAGATAAAATTCAATTATTTTCAAAAATTCTCAACAGGGTTGTATTTTTTTCAATCACAAATACAAGATGGAATTAAAGGTACCTTTCAGTAAAATACTTGCCAGTTAAAGAGTGATGTAATAAAGTAATGTAAAAGATGAAAATGAGGTTTATATTTTGACAAGTTCTAACACAAATAAAAATTATCATGCCTTAATGACACTCTCATTTGGTGGTTAAATATTAAATTAAGGTTCATTATTCACAATTAAAGTGGGATATAGCATGTTTTAAACATTATTAGCCTCTCAGTAACATTTGAGGTCTCATGTTTTACAGGAAAACAAACAGTAACATAACTAAGTGAAAAGGAACTATAGCATTTTCAAAAAATACATTTTTAAATGCTTTCATAATCTCACTGTGATTATGTACTAT